TTCTTATCAGGTAATGGTAACCCGGATGATCGATCTGAGGGAGTCCCTGATCAAAGAAACATCACACATTAAACAAACCCAATTCAAATATGAAGCTCAAAGATCAAAAACAGACAAATTAGGAATAAACCCACAAACTAGAATCACAAATTCAATTTAATAAAAGAACACAAACCAGGAACAGAGTCGGACCCTTTTGAGCCCACCTTCCTCCTTCCCCTTTCCTGTCAAAATCCATTATGTCAAACAAAAGGCATGATGAATCAAACTCATAAATTGGTATACAGCACGAGTGATAAACAAGTATAGAAAGAGACAGAGACAGAGACATGGACAGATAAGGCAGACAACATGGAAAGATAGAGAGAGAAAGAGAAAAATTGAGAGATTTGAGGGAATGGTGGAGAGAGAAAGGTGGGAGAGTGTGATCAGATTCTGTAGGGGTGTTAGTTTTTGACAGTTGACCTCAAAACCCTTAATACCTCACAAATCCCCGACACATTTCAAAGACCTAGTGAGAGAAAGTGAAACGGAAATTCGAGAAATGGAAAAGGAGTAAGAGTAATTTTGAATTCTGGACCAGTTGCATAAAAATCTCAGTGATCTCAGCTGAGCTGGACACTCCCCTCTCTGCTAAAGCAGACACTTCCCAAATCCCACTCTGTCTCATTCCCTCACATTCCTCAATCTCTCTTGTTCATAATCTCTATTATATTCCTCTCTTCCAACAGATCCATCCATGGCGGTGTTCTTGTGAAGTACCTCATCAATGTCATCGTCTTCATTTTCATCTCCACGAATTTGATCGTCGTAATCTTCATCTTCATCTTCATCTTCTTCTTCACCACCACCACCACCACCGCCGCCAATCCTCCTCTTCTTCAATGGCTTCCTCTCTGGTTCGTCATCTTCCCATTCCGACGCAGACGAACCATACTCCGGCGCGTGTGAATCACGCGTTCCTGACCTAGCAAGTCGAGACACCGGAGATAGATGCGTTCCATCTCTACCTTGATTCAACTTCACAACAAGCTTCAGCTTCTTCTCTCTCCTCCTCTCGTCCTCTTCCTCATCCTCATCGTCTTCTTCAAGAAAGTCGTCAAAATCCACGTTGTACCTCACATTCCGGCGACGGAGACTCCTCCGCGGTTCAGATTCCGACGATGTCAAACCTCCACCGGACCGCCGTGCCAGATCTGCCTTCGATGGTCTACCTTTCTTCTTCCTCTTCACGATCTGACCCATCCCTTTTCCTCTCTTTCTCTCACTACGAATTTTTTTCTCTCTAGAACTCCCTCCCCCTCTCTTTCTCTCTCTCTCTCTTCTCTCTCTCTCTTTCCCTCACTCTTTTGCTTTGGTACATTAATTTCGATGCTGGTTTGCTTTTTCGTGAGGTCCGAACCTCAGCCTCGGTTCCCGAACCTAAGCCTCGGTCCTTCGGGATCAAATTTTCATTTCCCCCTTTTTTCCTATTTTAACCCTTCTGCGTAAAAACGGTGCTCTTGGAAGACGGCGTATAGTGCTGCCCGCTGCCCGTTTTAGCTTCCGTGTTGCTTTTGCTCCTGCCCGCGCTTCTATATGCTTTAAGCGCGTGTTGTACACGCTCTGATATTTTAGATTCCTTTCACCTATCCGACACGGAAATAAATAAATAAATAAGTAAATAAATAAATAAAATCTGCCAATTATTTCTAATTTCTCGACGAATTATTCAATGAAAATTTAATAAAAATTCAAGAAATTTCCTTTTTTTTTAATACATTAATAATGAAAAACTATATTAATTAAATAATTAAATTTTCTTTTTAAAAAAAATGTGCTGTGAGGGGAATTATTATTGGGCTTTAATGGGCCAGTATTAACATTGCATGTGGCCCAATTTTAATTATTTCTTTTGCAGATTTTCCGTGCTCTGCTTTTAGATAGCAATGTGTTGCAATTATGAGCTTGCTTTTTTAGTATGCATTAAAAAAATTATATTTTATTATGCCTTTTTTTTTTCATATATAATAAATGTATTTAAATTTTATGTTAAATAGCGCTCTCTGCTCAAATTGACATTGAAATATGAATTCAAAATCTGCAGCAAATTTTAAGTTCGGAGGAACAGCTAATTGCTCGCACGTTTTTTAGACAGAAGACTGAATTACGATGATCGAGGACGGGCGTTTAATCTCGTTTATAAAGACGTGTCGTAGTTACTGTCACAAAGCTAGCCGTAGCTTCTTTCTCAAGTCTCACGACCGTATATTTTTTTTAATCATTGATTAGTATTTTGTAAAATTAATTTTGACCATTTATATTTTTTATTTTGAGTATTTTTGCATCTCATTGTATTAATTATAATTGTCCAAAACAAGAAGGTGATTAATTACACACACAAAAAAAAAAAAAAACAGTTAAAATATTATTTTTTAATTTATTCCAATTACGTTGAATATTCATAAAAATTGCTGTAATTTTCGGTGGAAAACACGCGCGAGTCAGGCGAGTGAGAGCTGGTTTTCAACTATTATTTGACAAAATTAAAGACGAAAGCGACTGTGGGTCCCAGTCCAACCCAGCACTTTGACCAAACCACCACTGGATAAATTATTTTACGCCTCTTCTATACAGGACATTTTCGTCATTTCGTAACCTTCTGCCTTCTATTTTACTCATTCGCAACGTGGCGTTATCGTAACCGTTCTTTTATACATTTTGAGTTGTTTTGTATTAATCGAATGGCTTATATGACCTCACGAGGATTGAGGTTATTTCATGTGGGACCCACTGTGGAATTATAAAAATAAAGTTATTGTTTTTTTCTTTCTATTTTATTTTAGGGTCAAATCGTAGAACTGACTAAAATATTTATTTTCCCAATAAATATTTTAGTTGTTTTAATTAATATTTGTTATAATTTTAATTCCAATAATTCACAAAGTCTTCGTAATAAAAAAAATGGGTTAAAAAAATTATATTTTAATCTTAATTTTAATTTATATTTTAATTTTTTATACTTTTAATAAATCTTAAAACTTTTATTTTTATTAAAAATTAATTCTATTACCATTTTATCTATAAAATATATTTACATAAAATAATTTCTATAATGAAATTTATTATTATTATTATTATTCAACAAAAAAAAAATTAACGTTTATTAAAAATACCATGGCTAAATTTTAAAATTTATTAAAAGAAAAATAAACAAAATTTTAAAGCCTAAAATACCAATAAACTGAATATATATATATATATATATATATATATATATATATATATATATATATATATATATATATATATATA